CCTGCAAGACTTCGCTTCCCCGCCGCAGGGGGATGTGTTCGCGCGGCCGCCACTGTCAGGATGGGTGAATTGATCATATTCGGATGAAATTATATATAATTCTTGCAAATTCATCGTTCCTTTGGCTTCATGGAGAAGGAGTGCATGTGCAGCTCAGTTTATTTTGGCAGTAGAAGGAGTTCCTCAGCTACAGCTTTCTGGAAAAGAGCGTTGTGATCTTCAGCTACAATTTCACATGCAAGAATCGTTCGAGATCGTGATAGCTCGAGATAAAAACCAAGACCCAAAAACAGGGACTAAATAAAGTCCCTCTTCCTGGTCAACCTACGATGTCGTTGGGCAGCTCCGACGAGTTGATGTGATTCATTTCTGCGTTCTGGCTTATCTGAAAATAGCAGGTGTTTCTGTTGGATTCTGAAACATACAGTGTGAAGTCATTTCTTTTGGAAAAAAAAACGATATCCTTAATACTATCAAGCAACGCAAGCTTCAAGAACTCGGCTTCTTACATTTTTTTTTGGTAAGTACTAGTAATCGTGCGCTCCATCGTCACTTGTCGTGCACATAGATTGTACAGTTTCTTGTTTGTCGAGTTTGCACATTTTGTTAATTGAAAAGCAGCACGAGCAACTTCTGCAGTGGGCAAAAAGATAAAAATGCCGAACATGTTTCTCCAGACCGCAGCGCTAGCGCTTTTTGTCCAACTACATGGATTTATCTTCTTGCCCTCCTCCCATCTGGTGCTTGCTTCGGCCTCGACCTCGTCTCGTTCCACTTCGGTTTCGAGTGTCGAGGCGCCACGCCGGCCTCTGGGAAAGCCGACCCCAAAGGGACAGCCACACCCAAAGCGCAGAGCTGTCCATCCGCAGGCGAAGTTGCGGAGCAAAACGAAGGCAAGGCCGACTGCGCCGCGAGTTATAATTCGGAGACAATACATATCGGATGACTCATCAGCCAGTAGCGATCATAACCCCTGCTCGGGCTCTCGTCCTGGAACAGGCTACCCGCTTGAGCCGCCTCTTGCCACGGCAGCGCAGGGGGGGGAACCCGAACCGCAGGAGCGGGGGGCTCGTCCTTCTTGTCCTTCCATTAGCACTCCGCCAGGCAAGGTGAAGGCAACGGCAAAGCCTGCCCCGCAACGGCGGGCAGCACAGCACAAGTGTACGGGGCGACGTTCTTCTAGCAGCTCCAGCAGCGGGTCTTCGTCTTCGTTCGCCGAACATGAACCAAAGAAATCCACTGCAACCCTGTCGGGGCGGGCGTGTGTGTTGCATCCTGCGGCCGATCCCGAGGAGCCGCGGGCCGGTGACTGTAATTCTAATTCGGCACCGCACCCCGTTTCCAACGTGGTCGGAATCACCGAAGTGGCTGGGGCGAAAGGTCTTGCGGCTTCGACGCCTCCTTCTGGAGCAGGCCCTGCTCCAATTTTTCCCGCTCCGGGTGCACCAGCCATCACGGACCTGTTTTCAACGCCGGCTCTTGCTGCGAATGAAAGCGCCGATGAGGTTGTCGTGGGTCTTCTCCCGGGAGGACTGCCGCCTTGCGAGGACGTTAATGAGGGGCAAAAGCTTGCTCGACCGCAACATCAACCGCGGGAAGATGACAATTTTAATATTGCGGACCACGCTGTAGGCAATGCAAATCCCCCGTCGACCACGGCAAGAACGCGACCTCTTCTAGTAGATGAGAAGGCTGAGCTTGTCCCGCTTCCAGTCTTCTCTCCTGCGCAGCCGGGCGATTCCGTGTCCGACATGGAGTTGTCCTCGAGGTCATCTGCATCGTCCATGAAGACGACCGCCAGCTCCGCCCCGTCCTCTCCCGTCCAAGTGCCGCTGCTGCAGCCCGCGAAGTTGGAGATGAATTTGCGAAAGTTAGGAGACGAAGCTTCGTCGGTCAACAGCGAGGACCTCACTACGACTTCCACCACAGCGGGACAAGCGTCGCCGGTGGCGGTGTCAGGGGAGGTTTATAATGTTGCGGTGGAAGGAGACGATGACAAAGACTTTACGTCCCCAGAAGATATCCCGGAAAAAAAATGTCAGCTGTAGTACCTATCGGCACTTTCTTACTTTCTTCGGCGTCATGACAAGTTTATTGTTCATCTGTATGACCGAGAAAGTATGAGTCACACGTCATGCATGACTAGAATCAATCATGTAGAGATCGTGAATGAAACACCTCCGAGCAACATCACATAAGTAGCCCATGCGGTCGACGCAGGCGTCCTGGATGACAGGCGTGTATCTGTGACTGTGACCACCACACGTGTGCTGCATTACAATTGCAAAGACTGACAGGCATTTTTTCGTGGATAGAAGATGTGAAAAGAAACAACACGACGACGGTGCTCGCTAGACCACGATCTTTGGGAGGAACGGAGACAGATTCATCTACAACCCCGCGACCGAAAAAAAGGAAGGGAGAAAAAAACGTTGTAGGTTTTGAATTCGGAGCCTCCGCTCCTCGCCGAATAAGCCGAACTACGAGTGAAGATCCTGATCCTCGTGCGCGAAGAAGTAGAAGTGCCAGCCCTGCGCTTGCTAGAACAAGCCGTGGTGAACAGGAGCGCAACGTGTTCCCAACAAGGGCCAGGAGCTCGTCCTCCGCCCGCCAGAGGAACGGCAGCCGGCCCAGAGCTCGTGCTTGCGAAAAATTATCGGGGGGACGTAAGGATCATACGACTTTTGCCGGAGCCGTAGCAGGCCACCCGCCTGGAGGCCTGCAGGTCATCATGGGGTGTCGTCGCGATATGAATAATAATTCACCTTCTCCTGATGAAGAAGGAAGCGGAAAAATCAACTCTGTTGGCAGCTGCAAAATAAATTCGGTGCTCAGTCGTGTTGAAGAGAGCCAGCAGGCGGGGGACGATGGGCAGCTGCTGCATGATCATGATGAGTCTGCTGAGCAATTATATACACGCGAGGACCACCACCACCACGACACGCGGTTGTTGTCGTCGCCACCGGTGGACGCGGTGGAAAAAAGTCCGGCCCAGCAGCAAGAAATAACGAAGCAGCTCCTGCGTCACGTGGAGACCACGACTACCTCCGACGACGATGCAAGTTCAGGCAGCGAATCCCGCGTTGTAGAGTCGGACAGCTCGTCCTCAGACGAGGAGGAAGACACTCCTGTATCGCAAGAAAAAATTACCTCAGTCTCAACTTGTAGAAGTGCGGAGCTTCGTGCTTGTTCAGACAGTTTTTTGTCATGCTTGAGATGATCCAAGAAAGCCCAAGTCGTCCGTCCGTGATGTGTGTTTTCTCTTGCTGCCTGAACTACGCATCTTCAGAGATTTCTTGTATTCTTGCTTCGCAAATTTGCATTGCTGAGTCTGCAGCAAAGGTTTGAGACTGAGACTGGAGTTTTTTCGTGCGATATCCTGGGATGCCGGAGCAGGTGATCTCCTGCAGGATCAAAGGCGTTGTGCGACTGCCCTGCCCGCAGCGAGTCGTGGACGCCTGCGCCACATACTATGGAGTTCTCAGACGTAGTTACATCCCCAACTGTTGCGTGATGGTGATTTTGTAATGCATGAATAGCTATTAAAACTGGCGTTGGCCGCGGGTTTTTTGCGACTCTTGCATTACAAATTTGGAAAACACTTCCATGCTGAGTATTCACACTTGATTTAGGAATTTGTCTTGCGAAGTAGCTTGGGCTGATGGCAATTTTGCATCACGCATGCTGAATCAGCTGAGAATGATGTAACGTTTGAGAATCCCATACATACCGTTCAGTGATGGAGCTTTTGTCTCCGTACCGTAATCGCTCTTCGTGTCAAAGCTTCATCAACATGGCTGAAAACCGTTTGAACTCCCCGCACAATAATTACGCTATCTTCGACGAAGACGACAATTTAATTCGTTCATTCGGAGTACACAGAGAGATGTGGCTTGGACGTATGGCGGAATATGACTCGGACAGCGAGAGGGAGGCGCTCCTTAAACGTGACATGGACGAGTTCTGTGTCGCGCAGGAGCTGCGAGATATGTGGTCGGAACCTATCGCCAATTTTCCCGTGAACGTTGCTGTCACGAGCGCGCTGACTGGGGATGTCTTACTCCGTATGCAATTTACGCAAAAGGAACTGGACAACTCGTGGTACTGTGACCGTGACGCCAATCTGCTCAATATGCTTCGCGCTGCTTGCCAGACTCCTGCAATTGCTGACAGGTTAAAAACTCATATGACTTCGACAAATCCGGCTGATCATCATGCTTTCGCGCTGAAGCTGACCGGGTACCAGCACCAGCCTAGGGACGGGCTCTTATCCGCACCCGAAAAGGAAGGCGAATACGATCTCTTACCGCTGGTGCGACTTCCGGTGGAAGAGACCGGCGCCACACGTTATGGGCTTGCGCCGCAGCCGGAGTGGGGTTTTCTTTCCCAATTCCTCCGACGTGAACTCGGAGCGGTCCAGGAGCAGTGTGGAGGGATTAAGGCCTTCTACGCTGGTCTGGACGAAGACAAAATAGAAGCCGCGGAGAAGCATAGGAAAAGACGCCAGTCGTGGTGGGGCCGGATTGTGGAAGACGGTGATCTGGATCCGGCTGTGCCTGAGCTCCGAGTGCAGATTGTTGTTGTGAATTATAACCCGTAGCGCAGGTCTCGCTGTTGAAAAAAGCAGTCCACGTGGTGCCGGATCCCCTTTATCGCGAAGGCTGCAAGAAGAGCACGAGAACTACTCAAAAACATTCTTTCAGCTGCGCCGCGGCCCGGACAGGAAGCAATTTTGGCGTCGTAAAACATCAAGCTTCTAGGGTAGCTTGAAGATGATATCCGTTTATTTTTCAAATCTACGACTTGCTACTGCCAGTACTCGCGGCTCGGAGGACGCCTATGTATACAGAAATCTATGTGTGATCATGAGACACAACTGTCTGACACCAAGAAGTGCAGACGCTCTCGCTAAAGTAGCGGAGCAAACTTATCGACGATTACACTTTTCATCTCGGATGATTTGTCAAAGTACTATTTGGAAGCTTGTATAATTGATGGATTTTGGTTCTTAGGCTCGACGTGGACAATTTAGAATTATTCAGCTGCTGTATCCAAAGGACTCGGCACCACGCGGCGCGGACGTGCTGCACTAGTTCCTTTTAAAAGCGCCCAAGGGGCAACGTGTATGATTATGATCGAGTACGACAAGAGCAGTATATTTGCGGTTGCGCAACGAGTTGTAGCACATCAAGAGTTCCTTCGCTTCACTATAGTTTTATCTGAAGAAACGTAGTCTGGGTCTTTGTTTCGGAGCCAAGACCGGTTTTTTGTTTTACAGCAAACGTAATTAGAGTTGATTTGGGCAGCACTGTCGCTAAAAGGAAATAGTCGACCAGCACTCATATCATTACAGTCAGAAACATGAAAGTAAGTAAAACATAAAGTACGTAGCTTAGTCTGTCATGAGGTAAAAATAATTATCACAGTTAGATTACAACGAGTACTGATTGGATGATGCTGGCTCTTCTGTACCGAAAAGGAGTTCAAGTTTATAGAAATTCGTTACCGTTTCGACACTGTTCGCGGTGGAAAATTTCAGTTTCAGAAGTTGACAATTTCTTTCATCGTAAGACCTGCCATAGGAGCGCTTAGGCTCACACGCAAGTAGACAACACGACATGTCGTGGTCGGTCCACAGGACTGCCTACAACACACTGAGTCACAGCACGAGCACTGCTCAGCAGGGGATTAAGAAGTATTAGCTACACATACTATATTCGTCTCCTGATAAGAAAGCCTGGATGTGTTTCCTTTTGTTCTAGCTCTATGGTTCCGACTGCCTGTTGACGTGTTTCGCTAACAAGGCAGTCGGAACCATAGACATGAGCACTGAAAATTTCTTGCCCGATCGCACGAGCGTACGACTAGAACCGCGCGAAGTAGACTACAAGAAGACTATTGGTGCGAGCCCAAGCTCGTAGGCAAGAAAGGGGCAGCAAACTCTGCTCTTAGCGAGTAGTCGTGCTTTCTGAAGTTATGACATTGAAAAAGGAAGAAGTGTAAGAGTAGGCCAGGACGACCTGCCATTGGCGACTGGCCGGGGCCATTGTTCATCGGTGGCTTCGTGCTGCTATGCGGATAAATATATGGATACTCCTGACTCTTACTTGTGTGGTCGTACTACGTGGTCGTACTACAACGGCTACTACGTCATAGAAGTTGAGAGCGAATCATTTTTCTTGTTGCGTTGATGCAGGAGGACGCAGGAGCTAGTATAAGAAATTGTTGAGTGTTGCGAAAAGCTGTCTCAGTAGTTTCGAGTTGATGTTGTAGCACATCACATACTACACAGGGCGGGAC